CAGGGAGACCAGAACTGAACGCAGTATTCCAAAAGTGGCCTAACCAATGTCCTGTACAGCCACAACATGACCTCCCAACTCCTATACTCAATGCACTGACCAATAAAGGCAAGCGTACCAAACACCTTCTTCACTATCCTGTCTACCTGCGACTCCACTTTCAAGAAACTATGAACCTGTACCCCAAGGTCTCCGAGAGAATCAAAGCGACCATTTCAGGCTATGCACCTCTCATTAGCACTGAAGAGGGACCGAGCGGTTTCTTTTTTAAGGGAGTGGGGTCAAGAAGAAGAAAGGAGAAAGTCTGTGATGGAGGCCAAGTGGTGAGAGGGCAATTTTATGATGCAACTTCCAAAATGGGTCACGGGATGCAGTGAAAAGACATAGGCCATGTTTCAACGGGACATAACTTGGTACCACAGGGTTTAAGAAACAAAGAAAGCCAAGGACAAACCAACAAAGCAGAAGAAACAAATGGATGGAAAATGTCTCAAATAAGATTGTTTAGCTTTACTACTGGGAACACGGTGCTATGGCAGGGGTGGGGGTAAAAGAAGAGGTCAAACTGACTTTTAAAATACACATGGCCCAACAGGCCTGAACCTGTATTCGATGAGGTGACATTTTTGGCTGATGGTAGGAGGATATTTTCTCATTGCCCTCTCACTCTCAAAAGTTACAAATGCGTTGCGAGTGGATCAAACTGTACCTGTCTCGAAAATGTCGATACTCCTTTTCCCGTCTTTGTTTCACCTCTTGGCGTTCGGCTGCATCGAAGACCAGCTCCAAGTCGGTGACAGAGTCTCGTCCGAGGAGGTTGCTAAACAAAGACTCCTGTTCTTCACAGCTGCAATCATCACTTGCCAGCTGGCTGCAGGCAAAAGCGATATCAGATGTTAAAATGAGCTCGTAGTATCCGTAACAGGAGTTATGCAAGACACAAAACAGAGGGACTAGAGTAAGGCCCTCTGGGAAGTTCTACCATTCGAATGGGTCGGGCGGTTCTATCCCTTAACTCCAGTTCCCCACCGTCAGTTCTGTCACCCATCATCTGACAAAAAAAAAATCTATCAATAGCAGCACCTGGGCAAAGGAACGGAGTTAATGTTTCAGATTGTGGGCTTTTCAGCAAAACGAACGAGTAACCCACACTATAGGAAGGATGCGATTGCAATGGATGGGGTGCAGAGGAGATACACCAGGATGTAGCCAGAGATGGAGCAGTTTAGCGATGAAGAGAGGCTGAATAAACTCGCCTTGTTATCTATAGAGTAGGGAAAACTGAGGGGGAACCTGATAGAGGTCTGAGGGGGTCATGGACAGGGTGGACAGAAAGCAGCTGTGCCTCTTAGTCGAAGGGTCAATAACACGGGGACAGAATTTTAACGTGAGAGCCTGGAGGTTTAGAGGGGATTTGAGGAAAAATCCTTTCACCCAGCGAGTGGTGCGGGTCTGGAATGCCCTGCCTGGGAGGGTAGTTGAGGCAGAAAACCTCGTAACCTTTTAAAACGTACTTGAATGAGAACTTGGAGAGTCATAACATTCACGGCTATGGGGCCTAGTGCAGGAAAGTGGGACCAGTGTAGATTTAGAGTAGTGTTTGTTGGTGCAGACTCGATGGGCCGAAGGGCCTCTTCTGGCTGGTATGATTCAACGTCCGGTTTCCAGCAAGGAGTAGGTGGAGCAAAGGTGAAAGAAGAGTCTGTGATAGGGTGAAAGGCAAAAGAGAGATTGAACAACAGGGAAGTTTGTCTTCCAGAGTGAGGGGACAGGAGAAGAGTCAAAGAAACAAAAAGATGTGCCTGGGGCAGCTGTGCTACTAACTGAAAGGGATATTAGGATAAAAATCTGTTCTCCCTGCCATGAAAACATCTCAGCAACTTTACTTCTAATTTCCACCCTTCTTTCGGCAGAAGATCCATCACTGACTTGTCCCCTCCATGGCTTCTGTTTCCGTTTCCGGCAATACACAAATATCCACTAATTCCCAAACCATATTTCCTCACACTCTGCTTCCTGTAAGGAGTCCATTCCCCTCTCCCAGTTTCTCCATCTTTGCTCAGTCTGTTCTGATGGCGCCACTTTCCACATCAGTACTCCTTACGTATTCCCTCAATCTATCCCCCACAGCAGCCTCTAGTACCTCCTCCACCTCCAGCCCAATGCCCCCACCAAATACATCTTCCCCTTTCTGAAAGGCCTGCACCCTCTGTGGTACTCTGGTCCAATTCTCAGTCATTCCCACCACCTCAGTCATGGCCCCTCCCCCACCTTCCCATGCAGGAGGTACAAAACCTGCCCTTTTTTTTTAAACAAAACCTCGTTTTGGGTCCTTCAGCAAGTGTGATCCCGAGTTTCCTGCTACCTTTTAATTCTCAATCTTGCTCTCACGCTGACGTCTCTATCCCGGGCCTGCTACACTGTTCTAGTCAGGCTGGAGGAACAGCACCTCATCTTTCAGTTCGGCATTTCACAGGTTTCTGAACTCACGGTTACATTCCAACAATTTCAGGTGGTAATCTCGGTGGTTATTTTGTTTCTTCTTTGTGGAACGCTTCCAATTTTGTCGGTTTTTTTTTGCTTACTGCATGCCCATCCCAGGTGCATCTTTTATTTCTTTCTTCCACCACAAAACTTTCTTTTTGTCCCCGCCCGACTTGCCTAATCCATCTCTAACATTCGGCTTCCAGTACGATGGCAGTGGATTGGGGCTTCTGAGCCTGGGGCTCGTCCGCCCCGTCTGTTTTACTTTTTGTTTCTGTTCTTTTTCTTGTTTTCTTTTACTTACCTCTTGTCGAAGAGCTCGGGAGCTTGCTACGATGGCATCAGCAGCGGCAAGCGGGCCTGGCGTGGGCTCCTGGCCCCCTGCACGTGGGCTCCCAGCCCTGTGCAAGCCGGCCCGGCGCAGGCTCCTGGCCCTCTGCGTGCACGCCCAGTGCGGGCTCACGGTGACAGTTTGGGTGCAGCAATGAGGCAGTCCTAGCGCCAACTCATGGCTGCTGCTATGGAGATAACAAGGTGTAGAGCAGGATGAACACAGCAGGCCAAGCAGCATCAGAGGAGCAGGAAAGCTGACGTTTCGGGCCTAGACCCTTCTTCAGAAATGGGGGAGGGGAAGGGGGTTCTGAAATAAATAGGGAGAGAGGGGGAGGCGGATAGAAGATGGATAGAGGAGAAGATAGGTGGAGAGGAGACAGACAGGTCAAAGAGGCGGGGATGGAGCCAGTAAAGGTGAGTGTAGGTGGGGAGGAGATAGGTCAGTCCAGGGAGGACGGACAGGTCAAG